AACGCCAAGGATTTGTTGCTTCAAGACAACAAAATATTGTATTAGGCGTTTGGATGTCTTAATGTAACACGGTCTTCATTTTATTCGATCAAGGATCTGAAAAAGACGACAAAATCATGGTTTCGATTCATAGATTAAGAGTCTGTTTGGTACAGATTCTCATTTTTTACAGTAAATCAGTTCTCATTTTCAACCACACATTTTTCAATAAATTAATAGTTTTCATCACATCAATATTTTTTTCTTCTTTTTCAACCACACATTTCTCATCATATCACTATTCAAAAATCAATTTTTCCCCTAAAAATCTTTACCAAACACACTCTAAGATCTATATTTCAAAGCAGACAATATGTCAAATCGTACTTTTTTTAACTCATATAAGTAATTCGACTTGAACGATAAAGCCATGTACAAATAAAAAAACTTTTGAACTTTCCAGTCTTTGAATAACGAGAAAATTTGAAAACCACACGAAACTTGACAACACATAATTGTATTTTTCACGTTTTTAATATTCTATCTATCGAACAATGTTTTAAGGAATTGAAGCTGTCTCGATAACTTAATTTAGAAACGGTACCGTTTTCCCATTTTTTTTTTATTTTTCCAACAAGCATCAAGACCCACTTAGAACCATCCAAAAGTACAAGAGTCAAAATTTGTGAGTGAAACTACTCAACTTGTGAGAGTCAAAACATGTTTATAGTTAATTAAATTTTAATTATAAGCAATAATCAGAAATAAAATAATAAATAATTTTGACTTGTAGTCGGTGGATTGTCTGCATACTTTTGTTGTTTTATAGTTCATTTTACTGTGCTGTCATGTCTCCCGAAGAGCCGAAAGGATCAATCATGCAATGAGGGCTCCACTCAAAAATGCATAATAGATTATCCAAGGGAAAAATAGGTTTAGCACTTTGTGAATAACTTTTTTCTCTCAACGCACTCATTTTCAATCATATATTCATATGATAAAATATTTTACACGTAAACTCAAATTTTTTTTATACTTTTTAACTGCGCGTTCTTCTAAAAATTATTATTAAAAACTCTATTTTCCCCAAATAATGATGATTGGACAGGAGCTTAAGTTTCCTAACCTTTAAAAATAGTATAATTAGATTCCTATACTAAATTCCTACTTTAAGAAATCTTTCGATACAAACTTCGAATTCTAAGGCTCGTTTGAGCCTAATTGAAAATATATTTTATAGAAAGTGACTTCTTGAATAATGTATAATTAAAGCGTTGAAAAAAATTTGGGTTTTACTTGTAAAAATATTTTTATGGAAAAATTATATGATTAAAAAAAAATTTGAAAAAAAAATGAATTTTAAAGAAAAGTTGTGTTAGATGAACCGGGCCAGCGTGACCCGTTCATCTAGAATAATTCTTTAAAGAAAGAGGGTCAAACGGGGCCTAAGTCATGTGAAAGTGAGAGTGAAAGTGTGTATGATTTCAATCCTCCTAATTCTGTTTATCAAATAATGTAAAAGAGCAATTATTTGCATGTTAGGGATATATATTGGATAAAGTTGTGCTACGTGTACATAAAAAATTACAAATTTATTTACTAATAGATGACATGACAAGATATGATTGAGTTAAAATTTCATCAACCGGCTTAAAAAGATAAAAAAGAAACTCCCTCGCACTCTGTTTGCCACATCACCAATTTCTAAAAGAAACTGTAAATGGTGATATACAAATAACATTATTAATTTGGATAAAACTAGACAATGTTACATTAAAATGTAAGAACTATAAAAATAACAAGTTAAAATCTTATCGATAGTAATATTTAATTTCGTCTAACTTTACATATCAAAAATATTTTAAAATGCATAAGAATACTTTATCCACGTCTTTTATATACCATCTCAAGTTCGGATCAAAAAATTATTATGGGGTTGCTTGAGCCCCATTGTTTCAAAAAAATGCATTTTGTAACAGTGTTACGATAGAAAATGTGTGGTTAAAAAATAAAGAAAAGTTTTGAATTAACGTGTAATATTATTTTATTGAATAATATGTGATTCAACTGAAATCAAATCATCGTAAAAAAATGCATTTTGATAAAAAAATAATAAGACTCAAACAAGAGCTATATAAAGTCTTATCAAATCTTAAGGCACGATGGAGACGGAGCACAATGAAAGGAGAAGAATGTGACTCGTGAGACACGAAGTATAAGCACAAATCTGTGCTTTTTCAAACTTTTTTTCTTTTTATCTCACATAGAACACTCTGTCCCTTTCTTTGCCACTCGTTTGTGTGACATTTTTCTTTTCTTAATCCAATCTTTTATTGCATTTAAATCCCAAACTTTCTTCTTTAATGCAGGTAAGGACAAAGCTATGAAAATCATTCATCTTCCTGTCAAATAGTTATTTCAAGGATGATGAGCTTAGGTGAATTACCCGGATACACTAGGTCAAGTAATTTATGTCCATTTGTTTTTACGTGCACCAAAAAAGATGGTTTGAGGACCTAAATACCATAAAAAATAGAATGGATAATGTTTGACTATTTTTCAGAAAAACGAACAATTTATGTCCATTTATTCTTATGTGCACCAAAAAGGCTGTTTGGGAGCTAAATTTGACAACAAAATTTATTTACAATTGTTCGAGTGAAAATCTCATCAACAAATTAAAAAAAAAAAAAATCTTTTTGTGATTAACTCATATTACATAAGCACAACCATATGAGTAGTAAAATGATTTTCGACATTTTTAATTCAATTTATTGTCACCTCATCAATTTGTAAAAGAATATGTCAATTGTGATTTACAACAAGCATTTTCCCTGCCTCGTCTAACTTCACTTTTCCCACACTCTACCTAAAACATATATTGTATCTATATACATGTACATTAATACTTGTGTATCCAATATCCAGACATGATCTAATGCCCAAAGCCTACTGACTACTGTGAATATGACAATATTCATTATTGATAACATTAGATACACGTGGCAATACTAGTCCATGGTGGGCATTGTAGCCCAATGCCTACCATGGACATTAGATCAAATCCGATCCAATATCTATTAGAATAATGCTAATTGTACAAGTAGTTTAATTCTTGTATCTATATACATGTACATTAATACTTGTGTATCCAATATCCAGACATGACCTAATGCCCAAAGCCTACTGTGAATATGGCAATATTCATTATTGATAACATTAGATACACGTGGCAACACTAGTCCATGGTGGGCATTGTAACCCAATGCCTACCAGGCTACCATGGACATTAGATCAAATCCGATCCAATATCTATTAGAATAATGCTATTTAATTTTACTGAAATTACAACTCTTATTTAAATAGTATTAATGTGACATGAAATAATAGATGTAAATAAACAAATCATTCAGTTCTACTTTTTATTTAACCTATCATTTAGCACCATCTAAACTGAAATTGTAATTTAACTGAGGCTTCTTGGCATTGCTCCATTATTGGTCTTGTGTGAGATTATGCATATGTTCTTGTTCATCTAATATAGCCATTTTTCATTCCCTACCGTCTCTATCTCTCTCTCTCTCTCTCTCTCACACACACACATTATTATCTTTTTGCCAGTTGCCACTCTACTGGGACATCTATAATGGAGTCGTTGTCAGAGAATCAATGGCTGAGAAGACTAAGTCAGTTATCTTCTTTTCCACCTGTCTGAAACTCTTTTCTCTCTCTGAACTTCAATTTAACGTACTATGCTTCTTAACTTTGCTTCAATTTCTTCGACTTTAATGCATTTCATCTTGTTTGGGTACTTAACAGGTGAAAAAAATTAACAGACTTTGAGCTTCCTTTCTGAGGTACTCTCTCTCTCTCACACACACACACACACACTATTCTTGTTCAAGTTTCAGTCTTTTTCTTTAATCAACCCTCAAAACCCCACCAAAAAAAAGGAATGTTCAAACTTTTTTACATCATTCAAATATTTTTTTGTAGTATCAGCAAATTGCAGATGAGCCTCTTTTCTGTTCCCTTGTGCATATTTTTCCCCTCTTGAAATGGGTTTTCTGGGTTTTATTTACATGATAATATATTAGTTTTAATAATACTGAATTTTCACTAACTGCATTGATTTAATTAAAATTTTATTTTTCCAAATGTGGGCCTTGTGATTGGGTGTAGGTTTGTTGGGGGTTGGGTTGTGAAATTACTGCCATTTTTTTACTTTTCTTCCAAAAGACCTGTTTTTATCTGTCTTACCTAAAAAGTTGGAAAAATTACTCTGTTAAAGAATAAGACCGTTCAATAATCAATTTTGTTACTTGAACACTGATAATTCTCCCAAAAGATTAGAAATATCTGCTTCTTATTTAGGGAAGATTCAATTCCTTAAGAATAAACTGTCTTGAAGTAGTATTAGCATTGAATTAGCAAATTAGAATGTTGAAGATTTGAAGTAAACGATTAATGGTATTGTATTCCCTTTTCCATATACTGGTTCTTGTAGATTTTAATTTGAATGTCAATTTACAGATAGGAGCTGTCAATATTGAGTTCTCTTCTGATTCGAATACATAACCTATATGGCTGTAGTTTTTTTACTTGAATTATTTGAAGTCGTAGCAATAGCCTGCAATTGTGTGTTTCTTTCTTTTCTTTTCCTTTTTTTTTCCTTCCTGCCTTGCAAATTGGATTAATCAATCTTACTCTTTGTTTATGATTTTTTTAACATTGCTATTCAGACTTACTTGATGTTTAACCGGTGGACAAGTATGGAAAGAATGTTATTGAGGATCAATGGCGAATCGGATTAGGAAGAGCTTAATTGAGAGAAAATGGAGTATGTGAACTATTTTGTAGCAAAAAAACATTGCCCTGTTTTCAATTTTCCAGCACAGTGAATATCTGGTCAACAAGTTTGAAGTATAGAGAATATTGGGGATTAAATCATAGAGTTAAAGAGCTGTTGGGATTGAGGGTTTAGACGTTGAAAGGATTTTGTAATCTTCCAAGACTTTTCAATGGATTCATTGTCATTTTCTGGATCATCGAAAAGGGCAAAGGCACCTGGGAATGTTACACAAGTTGCTCAGTGCTTGGTGGATGGGTGTAATGCGGACCTAAGTCTGTGTCGAGAGTATCACCGGCGTCACAAAGTCTGCGAGGCACACTCGAAAACTGCAAGGGTCACTATCGGGGGTCGAGAGCAGCGGTTTTGTCAACAGTGCAGCAGGTAAATTTTATAAATTGTCATCATCACTTATGATTCGGTATTGATCCTTTATGCTTCAGCATTTTATTCCATTGATGCATTAATCTGCTTAGGCCCTCGTTACATTTGAAGCACCTTGTTTGCAAATGGATTGATAAGAAGTTTGTTTTTATCAATATATAAATTAGCATGACTTGCAGCAAGTAAATCGCTTTTGAAACTGCTGTGTGATTCTATGTTATCATTGCCGTTAGTAACAATTTAATTTGTTCATACTTGTGTTGGGGATTAAACCAAAATCCAAGTTACGAGATCAATAAGTAGTAAAAATAACTGATGTATGCAAAGCACACACAGTTTATATTTCTTCACCTTCAATTTGAGAGAGAGATCCACATTCTGCTGCTGCAGATGTTTCTCCATTATGAAGAACTATACAGAGGATCTCATACCTCCCTTATTACGGAAACGGCTTACCTCTAAAATCCTTTATATATAGTTTTAATTGGGAAATTATAGTATCTTTGGACTTCGGTTGATCATATACTGTTGTGGCGTATTATATAGGCTTTCTAAAATGGTTATATCTACACACAGCAATTTTTTTACATTCTCTTTCTTTAACTGCAAGTTTTAATTTACAAATCTTCCCGTAACTTGAGTTGCCTCCCTTGTTCAAGTTAGGATCAATTTTTCAAGTGCCGCTATTTACTTATTACTCGATCAACTTACAATATTTGACTGTATTAAACAGTGCTGAGATTTCCCCAATTATAATGCTACAACTCTATCTCATTCAAAACTCATCCCGTTCTGATTGTAGCTGTAACTTTTCTAGGCAATTCTCCCTTAATTTCATTGTGAAGGACAAGTTCAAATTTAAATTCCACTAATTTTGAAGGGCACTCGTGGGGCTCTTCAGCCTTGCAATGAACATCAATTTGGTTATTAGCATTCTGAAGTTAATTGTATTCGCTTTGGAGATCAAACTCTGATTTCCTTTTGACCCTTTTTGTGAAAAGATGCTTCTTTTTTCTTCAGACTAATGTCATGGCTCTTTGATCAAGAATGCATTTGGCATCAAAACTTTGTATTAAAATGAAAACAGGTTTTGGTAAAAGGGGATCCAAGCAGTCATTTTTAGCAAATTAGGATGACATTCTGCGATCTAGTTGACTGTTGTGGACATAGATTTTGAAGTTTTTGAAGTGCCTCTAGTTATCTGACCTAGTAAGCACCGGTAGTTTGGTCTTGCTTCAGTTGATTGTGGACTACATAGTTTCTGATGATATTAATCCTGGGTTCAGCTTAGATTTGAGGTATTTTATTGCATGTAAGTACATGTTTGTGGTTTGTCAAACTTTATTTTTATCCACGTATAGTATCCACAACATTTTCCTACTTTTTTACCACACATTCCTTGGTACCCACTACTTATAATCAATTATAAGCTTTGACAAACATGTGCTGAAATCTATTTTATGTAATTTTTGTAGGTTTCATTCCTTGATAGAGTTTGATGAGGGAAAGAGAAGCTGCAGGAAACGTCTTGATGGCCATAACAGGCGCCGGAGGAAGCCTCAGCCTGACACCCTGTCCAGAAGTTCTGGTTTGATGTTTCCTGGTCAGCAAGGTTAGAATTATCGTTTATAATATATGATATATTTTTTTGAAGTGACTTGAGAGCATTTATTTGTTTGCATGTTAGCTTATCATATTTCTATTTAAACGGACTTCAAATGCGATACACTCATCAAATTGACTCACTTAGAGCATGTTGGCTAAGTTCAAAAGGAAGTAAAAGTTAACCCTTTGTTTCCGAACATGTTTTGATAACTTACTCTTTTCTTAACATTTGAAAAAAGTTGCTCATTGTAAAAGTAGGTCTTACTTTAATATTCAAAATAAGTAACTTGCTTCTTTCGTACTATGACCGATAAAAAAATATTTTTATTTTGAAACTTATTTATTTATTTAAACTTTTTAAGCTTAGCCAAACATGATAGCATTTATTTGTTTAGGTGAACTGTCTTATTGCTGCAGGTACACGAGTTCTCTCGTTTAATAGCCCGGATATAATTTCGAATCCCATTGCGAGCTCGTCTTGGGCCAGGGCCGCGAAAACTGAGACTAATATGATTCTATACAACAATCAACCACACTCAAATTACATCGAGAGACAAAATACATTTCCTGAAAGTTCGGCTCATAGCTTTAAAGGAGTAAATCAACTTCAATTTTTGCAAAGCGCTCTCCAAAATGCGCAAGAAATTTCCATCTGTCAACCTCTTCTAGATCCGAATGCTGCATCAGGAAGAAATAATACCTGCAGCCTTTATTCTGATGGGTTAAATCAAGTCGTTGACTCTGATCGTGCTCTCTCTCTTCTGTCATCGGCCCCAGCTGTTTCTCAGGAATTTGGTTTGGACCATGTGGTGCAGCATGATCCAGTACTCCCAAATGCACAGTCAGTTCACAGCCTTCAGTATATCGGTCTAGGCCAATACTCGTATCCTCGAGAAGTTGAAAGCAAGTCAGTAGGGTTTGACATGGATTCCCCCCACGGTAGCAAAAACTCCACTGTTCATTTTCAGGGAATGTTTATGAATGAGCCTGATGGGTCGTCTACAAGTGGATCCCACCAAACGCGGACATTCACTTGGGAGTAAATTTAGCTTAATTCTGTTGGCTTATTGTCAAATGTACTTTGTTTTTGTTCTGTCTTTCTTTGCTAACCACATGATATTGAGTTCTTGGGGGCAGAAAATGCCTTTTGAAGGAATTTCTCGGGTTCTCTTTCTGCTCTTTTTCTGTATCATGTGAGCCTACTTGTGTGTAGTACTGTGCACTCTTGCCTGTGGTCCAGGGTATATTTTTGTGTGCATGCTGGCCGGCCCGGTTCTTGTTCCTGCAGTCGTGGCTAGGGACGCCTGTTGACATTAGTTGTGTTGTACTTGGCCCAACACAATCCCGTAATACAAGAACATGGTACGACCTAATTTACTCTAGTGTGTAGGGGTGTGATCTGCAAAGCAAAGCAGTTTATGTTAGGAAAATACAAAACAGGAAATTATAAAGACAGTTGGAATTATATAAATAAAATAATGGAAGGAAACATTATAATAAACAGAGTAACAATAAAATTAGAGGAATAATTGTTGAGGTAGTAGCGGTATTGAAAGGAACAGAGACATTTGTTGCACATAGTTTTCTTAAAATAAATTCATCCCTACTGTGGTGCAATAGGATTGATGACGTCTATTTTTCAAGATACAACGGTTGAAAGTAGTTAACTAGCATCTTGCATTACCTTAAGAGAACTAATAATGCTCACAATTCCAAGCTAGAAAAAATAACTAAATTATATATGTTACTAAGAACTAAACTCTTTAAACAAAGAGAGGAGAGAAACTCGGAGTGAAGAAATAACTCTCAATTTTTATTGTTTATTTTTTGTATGAAGAATAAGGAGGAGAACACCTCCTTATATATGGTAAGAGAGGTTTCAATTCTTAGTTAATTTTTTATTTAACACAAGTAATGTTACAATAGCCATGAATGAATTTGTAACCACAAGAGTATGGAATTGAACAAATTTAAATACAAATTAACTATAGAATTGACTAGACTTTAAATCTATGAGTTGTTACAATATCATTCAACTTAAAATATTGCTTTAATTTATTAATTTAATATACTATTTTTCAACAATCCTCCACATGAATGAAATTAACGACAATAACATACAGACATGATCACATAAATCAACAGTCGAAACTTGCATAGGATGGTAGGTGTTATCCCTTTAAACCTTTCTTTGTGTAAATATGTTTACTTTACTAATTGATTAGTAGACATGATGTCCTTAAAGTATTCCGCCATTTGTGTAAATGATGACACACTCCTCACATACTTCTTCTTAACTCAACTCTGTTCTCATAGTTATATTTGTTTTAACTATGAACATTTTCCTAGTTCTGTGAGAGTTCCTCAGAATTGAGCCCTACACAATTCCCTTAAAAGTGGCCCCACTTGTCCTTACATAGGCTGTTTCTTATTACAAGTAACCCGCATTACTTCGAACGATTTTCGGCGCATAAGAATCATTAAAAGCATATTTCTTATCCTTTATCCTTACGAGAATCACTGTTACATTATAGGAATTGACATGAGATTATATCTCACATAGTAATTCAATTAAGTCTTTACAATTAGGTTGTCCCATTTTGGGATGTACTGTCAACTAGGTTGGGTTTCCTTTGTATTAACTCATTCGTTCAAGAGCTTAAATCCTACTCATTTCGATAATTTTCCAACTAACTCTCTATTTAACCTTTTGGTTAGTGGATCTGCAATATTATCATTTGACCTTACATAGTCAATAGAGATAACTTCAGTTGAGAGTAGTTGTCATATGGTATTATGTCTACGACATACAAGTCTAGCCTTACCATTATACATGTTATTCTATGCCATTTCAATCGTTAATTAACTATTATAGTGTATGCAAATTGCTGGCACAACTTTAGACCATCTCGGAATATCCTTTAAGAAGTTATGTAACCATTCAACATCTTCACCATATTTATCTAGAGCTATAAACTCAGATTTCATGGTAGATCTAGTTATAATTGTTTGTTTAGAGGATTTCCATGATATAGTCGCACCTCCCAATATGAACACAAATTCACTACTAGACTTTGAGTCTTTTATAACATATATCTAATTAGCATCAATATACCCTTCAATGATTTTTGGATATCAGTATAGTGTAGTCCATAGATACGAGTATAACTTAAGTACCTTAGTACTCTTACTATTTCTTTCCAATGGTCAACTCTTGGATTACTCATGTATCTATCCAGTTTACTAACTGTGTAAACTATGTCTGATCTTGTGCAACTCAGCAAGTGTATCAGACTTCCAATAATTTTAGAGTATTCTACTTGAGAGATACTCTCGCCTTTGTTTTTAGATAGATGCTGACTTGTATATATTAGTGTTATAACCATGTCAGTTTTAACATCTATTTGATGTACTTCAAGATCTCGTAGAGCTGCAATCGCAAGAATCGTCCTAATGGGTGATATTCTTGTTATTAGAGAATATGTATCAAAGTAATCAAGGTCTTTTTGTTGTCTGTAACCTTTTATTACTAATTTGGCCTTATACTTCTCAATAGTTCTATTTGCTTTCATTTTTCTTTTAAAAATCTATTTATAGCCTAGTGGTTTATTTTCTAGAGGAAGGCCTGCTAGCTCCCATGTATGATTTTGTCAAATGGAATCTATTTAACTTTTAATTGCCTTTTTCCATTGAGATCATTTTGACGATTTCACAGCTTCTTGAAAGTTTTGAGGTTCATTTTCTAACATATAAGTCAGAAAATCAGGACCAAAAGATTTTTCCGTCCTTTCTCTTTTACTATATCTTGGTTTAACCTCAACCTCCTCTTTTAGTTCTTGATTTGACTATTTCCAATCATAGTCTCGTGAGTCTTTTTAGAGGAGATTGCTTCATCTTTGGATCTATACAAAAATATATGTTCAAAGAATGAAACGTTTCTCAATTTCATTATCGTATGTTTGTGTATGTTTGGAATTTTAGACTCTCGTACAAGAAACTGATAAGTACTACTATTATGTGCATAACCAATGAAGATACAATCTACGGTTTTCGGGCCTATCTTTACTTTCTTTGGTGTTGGAAGAGCAACTTTAGCAAGACTTTCTTCATTTCCATAACTCATAAGGGGTCTTTTCCGTTTTCTTTTAGAGTACCTTATTTAAAAGGAAATTTAATGATAACACAATTTCCCCTCCCCCGACATGTTCTAAGGTAATACATAATTTACTAACATTGCATTCATTATTTCTTTCAAGCTCCAATTTTTTCATTCAGTAACACCATTTTATTGCGGTGAATGAAGTACAGTGATTTCATGTATGATTTCCTGTTATGTACAGAATTCAGCAAATGGTGCTTCATACTCACCACCTTGATCACTTCATAACACCTTAAATTTCTTATTAAACCTCTGTTTGGTGCACATTTTTTTCCCAAGAATGTATTTTTTTTATGTGATGGGGAATATGTGACTGAAAAAGAAGGAAAATGTATTGATGTGATGGAAAATATTATTTTATTGAAAAATGTGTGGTTGAAAATGAGTAGAATAATGAGAATGAAAAAATAAAGTAGCTCAAAAAGGGGCTAAGTTGATTTTCAACTTCTTTCTTATGGAGAATAAATTTCTCTATAGTTTCGTCCTTACTTTTAAGCAGATATACATAACAATATTTCGTCCTATCATTGAAAAACGTAATGAAATACTTATTGCCACTTATAGTTTGTATAAATTTTAAATCACATTATCGCTGTGAATTAAATTAAGTGGTTATGTATTTCGTTCAATTGATTTGGAGGATGACCTTGTCAATTTCGCCTCAACACAAGTTTTGCACTTATATTTCAAATCAATATGGAACGTGTGTGTGCAATTTAAGTTAATTAATCTACGTAAAGTGTCATAGTTAACATGTCCTAGTCTACCAAGCCACCAATTGAAGACTCAAGCAAGTAAATAGAAGAATTAACTTTATTAATTTTTCGCTTCACAATCATTACATTCAATTTAAGCACATCATCGGAAGCATAACTCTTTTCAACAAACATTCCATTCTTTAACAAAATGAATTTGTCTGGCTCAAACACAATAAAAAAAATCATATTTATTCAAAAAAGACCCGGACACTAGGCTTTTGTGAATTTTCGATACATACAGTAGATTATTGAGAGTCAGCTCTTTCCCCAAAGTTATCTTCAGAACCACATTTTCTTGACCCTTGATTTCAGAAGTTGTTGAATTTCCTAAGAACAACTTCTCTCTATTCTCGATTGCTTAGAACATAGTAAACAACTATTTATGAGAACACATATGCCTCGTAGCTCTGGTGTCAATCCAACACTCTTTTGGGTTTAAACCCACCATATTTACTTCAGAAATGACAGTTAAGAGATTCATCTCTGACACGACATATGCCATGTAGTCAATCACACTGGCTTCTTTCTTATTGTTCTTCTTCGACAATCTGCATTTTGAAACTTATGGCCTACTTTGTCACAGTTAAAGCATTTTTCTTGAAATTTTTTCTTGAAAATGCCATATTTTGGTCCCAGCTTTGCCCATTTGCCATCGGATGGCCCAGGCTTTTTTTTTATATAGGTCTTAGAACTTTGACCATATTCCATAACATTAGCTTTAGCCATACCAAGATTGAACCCCTTCTTTTCTGAATTTCGATTGTCTTCTTCGATTCGAAGCCTAACTATCAGTTCTTTAATGTTCATTTCATTTCACTTTTGCTTTAGGTAATTTTTGAAATCTTTCCATGCCAGAGGCAAATTTTCATTAATTGAACCCACTTAAAAAGTTTTACTCGAGTTCAATTCAGTGGTTTGTTCCACAACAATTGGTATCAGAACTATTCTGGTATCCTGTTTGTTTTACAACATGAAGTCTTTCCTAGAAGACAATTTGCGATTTTTATATCAGTGTGTTTAGTGCTCGTCTGAAATCAACAATCATTGGATATGTGGTCGTGAGTGTTGGAAAATAGTTAAAAATAGTTTATTTTTATAAATTTTTGACCAAATATTTAGATGGGCC